CCCCAAAACCCCAAAACCCCAAAACCCCAAAACCCCAAAACCCCTCGATGAGTTTGAGAATTGAATAATTAGTTTTCTATAGCATACTCTTCTTTAAATCGTCATAGTCATCTTTACAGAACTTGCACGCTCTTCTTTTGTGTCCGTTAATGATTACTGAGTATCGACTACAGCCACTGCAGAAGATTTTTCCGCAGACTCTTCAATGATGTTTTCTGAGTAAGAGCCAGAAAGTGGACTTACATATATTGCAGGAGTTAACTTCATCATCTTCTTCCCACATAGTAATGCTAATATCTGAGTCTTGAACAGAGTAGCCGTAATCCGAAGGGCATTCGTTAAAAGTACGGTGAACATTCATATTTCTACCTTGTCTACCTCCTAAAAATGTTATTGAAGCTTTTGAACAACAAGGATGTACTTACTGTTAATTGCATTATGATTGAAAGTCCCCGCAAACTTTTTGTACTGCTCACGAGGATTCCTCTGAGTAGAGTTGAGTGTCTGAACAAAGAAAGGCTGACCGCCTTGGCTTGAAGTTGGTGTAAACACAATCATTCCAGGCTGGTCTAGATTTGTAGCGTAGGACATTCCATCAACTAAGACTTGTTAAATTTAATTTTAAAGAAACTCAACTTGTGAAATAAATTGCGTTCTAAAATTCATTCTAGTGATTATAAAAAGAAAATATGCTCTTACTTTGCTGAGGGTTTAAGAACAAAGAGTTTCTTTTAATTCCTGAAGATGTGTTCGATCTCTCATGAGGATAAGGAGATTCATTTGATCCATTTTCTTCCTCTGATAAATCTCTTTCTGATATCTTTTCAATTTGCGAAATCCTCCGTTCAGAAGAGGTTTGTCTCTTTTTCTCTATCTTCAGTTGTGTTTTTAACATCTGATTAAGTTTAATAATTTCGTCAACTTTTTCTTGAACGTGGTCATAATTAGACCCATGATCTTCTTCTTTTTCTGGTGAATCATCTATTACAATATCTGAATGACTTCTTTTATGATTTCTGTGAGATTTACTTTCAAAGGTACTCGAAAAATCATCATTTTTACCACTCCTCAAGATCAGTTCAAGATCGTCTGAGGTACTTTGAATAATATGAGAGTCATCATCAAACTGATCTTTATTTGACTCGACATAATCATTCAATCGTCTGACTAAATGTTGATATTTCTGAGTCTCTTTTGTTAAAAATGTCTTGGTATCTTTATTTATCTGGATTTGAGACTGAAGTTGAGATTTCAAATTTTCAATTTCTAATATGATTATTAAAAATTACCATCATCTTTCTCATCTGTTTCCTTGTTTATTTTGTTCTCTTCATCCTGCTTCTGGGACTTTTTAGTTCCTGTTTGAGTGGAGAGATCGGCGGCTTTATCTGGATCAGAGAGTTCATTTAGATTTGCCTTAATTCGCGCATTTTCTTTTTCTAGATCTTTTCATATTGAAGATAACTTTCTTGATGTAGTCGAGCGTCTATGCAGACCAATTTTTGAGTACTTTCTCTCTATTTCTTTCTTCTTTAAGAATTTTTCATTATTTTTTAAATTTATATAAGGAGTGGGGCGTTTTATCACAGGTATTGGGTCTGGTTTCTTTCACTGTGAATGTCTGCTAGGTTCCATTTCTTCCAAATTAATAAATATCTATTCAACTCATGCTGTATGCCTAGGGGTTTTGGGGTTTTGGGGTTTTGGGGTTTTGGGG